GCACTCCTACCCCTGACTGGCCCAACTCTCCCACAGGCCCTGCTGACACTGGCCAAGAACTCGGACACCATGAACAAGTACCCTACATGGCGCCGGACTCTGCTGCGCCGGGCTAAGGAGGAGGAGATGAAGAGATTCTGCAAGGCCCAGGTGAGGCCTAGGGGTTGCTAGAAGTTCTCACAGGGGTCACAGTTCTGTGTTTGGATCAGAGCTCCTCCAGCACTGTTGTTGAGTAATCTTGTATCCTCTCAGACAATCCAGCGGCGACTAAATGAGATTGAGGCTGCCCTGAGGGAGCTGGAAGCTGAAGGTGTAGAGCTGGAGCTTGCCTTAAGGAGCCAGAGCAGTGAGTGAAGCTAGGACGCCACTCTGTCTCCTAGAACTTTGTTTAGTCCCCAGCTGAACCCCAGAACCACCAGGCTCTGGTCCAGTCACACAGCTCTATACACACCAATGCCCTTTTTTTCTTGTCACCTCCCAAGCCCCTGACTCCTGTTTTCCTAGCTAGAGGCCTTGTGACCATCCCAACCCTTCTTCCTTCTTCCTAGGTTCCCCAGAACAGCAAAAGAAACTCTGGTTAGAACAGCTGCTGCATCTTGTCCAAAAGAAAAACAGCCTAGTGGCTGAAGAGGCTGAGCTCATGATCACGTAAGGCACACTGATAGTAACATTGGCACAGAGCTAAGCCCAGTCCTGTGGGCACCCTGTATAGCTGTGCCTCTTCAATCCCTGACCCCCACAGGGTACAGGAGCTGGACCTAGAAGAGAAGCAGTGGCAGCTAGACCAGGAGCTAAGAGGCTATATGAACCGTGAAGGTACGTGGGACCCCTCATGAACTTGGATCAGGCAACTCCTCATGTATCTCTGCAATAATCAGGAGAAAGTCAGGAGATGGGACTTGGAAGCCCCCACACTCTTGAACAATCAGGGCTGCACAGTTGGGTTTTTATACAAAATTTCCTTCAAAAACAGTGCTGCTGAGCTGGGGTTATAACTTAGTGGAAGAGCACTTGCCTAGCATGTGTGAGGCACTGGGTTCAATTCTCAGCACCACATACAAATAAATAAAATAAAGGTCCATCACTCAAAAATATCTTTTAAAAAACGGTGCTGCTGCTACTAACACTAGAAAACCACTGGTGTGGCGTAACCTCATTTTGCAGGCTAAGAAGCAAAGCTGAGTTGTAGAAATCACACAGGCTAATTTAATTCCTTGTTCTCTAAGTTTCACCTTCTCTTTCAGAAACCCTGAAGACAGCAGCAGATCGGCAGGCTGAGGAGCAGGTCCTGAAAAAGCTAGTAGATGTGGTGAACCAGCGGGATGCCCTCATCCGCTTTCAGGAGGAACGCAGGCTCAGCGAGCTGGCCTCAGAGACAGGAGCCCAGGGCTAGAAGATGGTGGGCTACCTACCTTCTTCTCTACAAGGAAGACAACCTCATCCCAGGACAGTGCCATCCCTGCTCATCTAGGCTGTTTGGGAGAGGCCTCACTGTTGACAATAAAAATATTTCTGCTACAGACAGGGTTTGGATACATGCTGATGGGAGCAGGGGAGGTGTGCAGGCAGGGAAGATGTGTCAGAGCCCTAATGTCTACATTGTGACAATCAAACTGATCCTAGGTTCTCATCAATGCCACTACAAGGAAAAAGGCAGAGCCACTAAAATGTCAAGCTTTATTAATTCTCAGTTCTGTCCCCTCTCTTGCCCCAGGAGCAGAGCTAACTGAGGCTCTGAGCTCAGGTCCTGGGCTTCCCTTTCCCTTCCAAGCACATGCTGGAGCTCAGTCTGGACCCTACACAAGCCTCTGGCCTCCTGCGTGTGGAAGAGGTAGACTGCGCCTGCCCCCAGCACCAGTCCTACATTGGGCGTCCAAAGCAGTATGGCCACTTCCCTGGCCCTTTCTTCTGCTACAAGGAAACAAAGCAACACCAGGAGAAGCAGCCCCACACCAATCACATTGCCAGCGAAGGCAGCCCACCAACGAGCCTGGGCTATACCCAGCCCCAGCTCTGTCCAGGCCTCCCTCAGCACACTGATCAACGGCAACCTCCCTGCTGGTCCTAGAACAAAGCAGGGCAGTGGAGTGAGAAAAGGTCAGAGTGGAGGGGCTGCCTTGAGATAGTGAAGAGCCAAGGGAAAGAGTAGGGTGACTCACCATAGGTAAAGCTGGGATTTTGCTGGAGGGGACTATGTCTCACACAGAGAGTAGCCATGAGGGCCTCATGATCAGAGAGGGGGGTGCCATTGTAGGGGCCATGGCCTGCAGTGGATTTGAGACTCTTACAGGAGATGCAGAATCCAGAAACCGCCTAGGAAAAGTAAGGGTCAAAGAGAATCTTATGTTGGAGGGCCTCCTCTCAGAGAACCAGCTTCTAGTATCCCATTCTCTAGCCATCAGTAATCTAAGACTAGACCAGCTGAACGAAGGATCAGAATAGGCTGGTGACAGTAATAGACACAGTAAGTGAAGGCATGCTGTGGAGAGAGCCTGACCTTGTAAAGCACGTAGTCAATGCGGATGCCACATGGAAATGGCTCCAGATCCTTCTGGCTGACGTAATGGTTCTCAGGTACCATGGTATAGCCTTCTTCAAAGCCCTAGGGAGTAGCTGGTTCATGGTAGGATATGGGGCAGAAAGAGAAACTGGGAGTATAGGTGAGAAAACAGCTAGGTAGTTTCTCACCTTAAAGTCCTGGGTCTCAAGGTAGGCATCATGCAGTCCTGTCCACTCCCTCAGCAGGCAGCAGCCCAGATCTTTTGGGTGCATGTTGAGGTCCCCACACAAAAGAACCACGTCTGCCTTCTTGGATGTGTGGCTGGTGAGCCAGGTCAGTGAGGAAGGAATTCTTCCCTCGCCCCCATTGCCCTAATCCTAGCCACACCTCAAACCCTGGGTCCCAACCCACTTCCCCTGTCAAGCCTAGGCTCACACACTGGATGAACTGGGCCAGTTCCCAAGCTTGGGCCACACGATGTGCTAGGTAGATGTCCTTCTGTCGGCTGTACTCGGCATGGAGCTGAGTGAGATAGATGAGATTATAGCAGTAAGATTAAGGGTCCCAGGAGCCTGTGTAAATCAAGCTTGTGTCTGTCACTGGTTAAGGATCTGGTACACAATGGGCAAGTCTTGCCCTATTGCTACCTTAGGAAACCCTTACCCGATAGCTCCTCCTCAGATACATAGCAGAGAAATCCCACCTCAGTCCCAGGATTAGAATGCCTGTCCAAGCCCTAAGCACTGGTAGCTTCACTTACGTGGGTCACATAGGCATTGAGCACAAGTCCACTTAGATGGAACACCAGGAGTCCTACAGCCTTCCCACAGAACCAATCACCATGATGGATCTGCAAGCAGGAGGAGACAGGAACTCATAGCACTGCCATCTTCCATCTGCCCAGCCTCTGTAGCTCCAGGAAGTCTGCCTTCTCTACCTTGTGTTAGTGGGGGTGAGGAGGGAGGCTTACCATGTAGGGGTAGCCATTGAGGGTGTAGACATGCTGGATGATTTCCTGGATTGGGTGTTTGGAGAAGACACAGAGGCCACTGCCAATGATTCCGCTGTAAGCCAAGCCCTGCTTAATAACCAGAAAAGGTGGGAAACACCCAGCCCTCTTCTCTCTCCTTATTTCCCAGCTCTGATGAGCTCCTCTCTCTCTACTGCTGGGACCAGTCTCAGAACAAAGCTCAGGACAACAGCCTCTGCAGGAGGATGAGGGGGCTGCCCGATAATAGGCGGAGATGGGCTGAAAAGATAGGATGTTCCCAGTTCACCCTCTCCTGCTCCTTTACCCAGAGAAGGAGGTAGGCAGGTGCAGGGAAAGGGAAGGGTTGGCAGGGTCAAGAACCCTCTGATCTGAGAACAGGTTCAGGCCTGCAGGTTTCTCACCTCCTGAAGTAGTGTGCAGCTGGATAAGTGAAAGACAGTTTCTCTTTCAGGCACTGGAAGTCCTGCTCACTCCACACCTGAGGGAAGGATGAGCATGCCTGCCTGGCCTTTCCCCCAAGGGGTGGGTGTCTCCTCCAGTACCCCTTCCCAGAGCTCCTCCCAGCCTGGGATCCACATCAGAGATGCACAACCCCACCTCTTCCAGTAGAGCCAAGTCGAAGCTCTCCATATTCAGAAAGTCTCCCAGACGCTTCATGCGGTCAGAACGGTGCTTGCTCACGTAGGGAAGACCCCTAAGGAAGGGAAGAGAAAGGCGGGCCAGGGAAGGTGACTGCTAGTACCACTGGAGTTGGGGCCGATACGGCGCCCTGTCGGTTCGAGTTTCCCCTCCACCCGAGATCCCGGAGGCAGGATGGGGTCGTGATCCAGCTGTGAGGAAGGACTCCCTCCTCCCTCTGGCTGTGCGGGTGCGAATGGGAAGGAGGCCCCCAGGCAGCACTCGGCCGGCGAACTCACCAGCAGTTGAGGTTGAAGACCCTCAGGCGCAGAGAGAAGTTGGGCTTCATGGCGGGGATGTTCCGGGGCGGGAGTCAGGAGTCAGTTTGCTTCCCCGAGACGGTCCTGGCGGGGGCGAGAACAAGAGCAGGCGAGTGGTGCCTTCTCCCCGGGCGATGCGGACAGGTGGCCCGTCGGGACCCCGCAGTCCCCACACCCACGCAGCTCCGGCCTCGGGCTGATTCCCGTGTTACCAGCACCACCCGCCCGCTGGCCTAGATTAGGCTGCGCGCTAACCCGGAAAAGAGATCTGAGAAACCCGGCGTGCGCGGGCTGGAGAAGGATGCGCTCGAGGCCCCTGGGGTACCCGAGAGGGTTCCCGGGCGGGCGGCTCCGTGATCCTTTGCCCGGAGGCTGGTTCCCGGCAGCCGCAGCCCACAAATTCCTCGGTTGGCCCCCTTCCCGGCCCGGGGCCTGGCTCACCAGCAACAGGCTGCAAGTTGAGAGGCCCCGCCCACGCTGCCGGCCCTTGGCTCCACCCTGCCCCGCCCACTGCAGGCGTCGGGGGCGGGGCCGCGCGGTTGCCGTGGCAACGCGTGTGTTGTGGTTTTTTTTTTTTTTTGGCTCGGGGTTAGTCTACTAGCTCCGCCATGGACCGCTTGCAGAGGTTGCGGCCCACTCCCGCCCCATGCAGCTCTAAGTCGCCGCCCGAGCGGCCGCTGCAGGTGAAAGTGGTGGGGATCTTCAAAAGCTCCAGCTTTCAGGTTGCGAAGTCTACTGCTGAGGTAACCGCAGAAAAACCCCCAATGCGGCGACCCTCCAGGCTTCCCGGCCTCGCGGCGTGGATTACGCGCCTCGATGTCTGGTGCAGGCGGGTGGATGTTCTACTGGAGGAAGGACGGGCTGGCTGGGACCACCCCCACCCCTGGAGCGCAGAAAGGACACATTCGGGTCAGGGGCGGGCATTTGGCTTGGAGTAGGGCGACATGTAAAGGGAGATCCCAGTAAAGGAAGTATTCAGAACCTTCCTGGGAAAAATAGTAATTACTACTCCTACGTGTTTACACATTTTATTCCACATTAATTTTAAAAATTGAATTACAGATTTACTCATGAAAAAAAAGTTTAAAGTGTTACTCTAACTCGTGGATTTTTACAAACTCCTTCCCCAAGTGATTTTCGAAAACTATTCATTCATTTGGTAAGATTTTTTTTTTTAATTGCTATAACAATCACTACATTCCGGCAGAATTAAATGCCTAACGGATTTCTTAACAAGTGGCCCCAAGTGTTTGAACAATCCCAAAATTTCTTTGTAAATATGCAAAATGGCATAAAAAGAAACCACTGAAAGAAACTGAAGAATTTGGCCATGTCACTCATATTGCCAATGTATGAAATGTTGAAATGTAATAGTCTACTGGTCTCTGGGGTTTGTTCCAAAAGTACTGTCCAAGCCAAGTTTCTCTTCAAAGCCTCACTAGACCCCACAAACATGTCTTAATAACTTGCAAAATAAGGAAAGTTTAAGTGAAGAAAACAGGTGTTGGGACATCTATGAATATGATACAGATTGATCAGAAGAAGTGGAAATTATGGGCTGATGGGGCCAGTATCATTTTATGTCCAAAATTTTATTTAATAAGAACATTCTTGTTTTTCTTAGCTCCTTTTCTGAAGGCCCATGTTTTCTATGCCTGGTAGTAAATATAAGTGGGCCATAGGGTCTCAGTCACAAGTATTCAACTTTGTCCTGATATTATAAAAGTAGCCACAGATATGTAAATGAATGGTGGTGTTCCAATAAAGCTTTTTTTTTTCATATTTATTTTTTAGTTCTTGGCGGACACAACATCTTCGTTTGTATGTGGTGCTGAGGATGGAACCCGGGCCAAACGCATGCCAGGCAAGAGCGCTACCGCTTGAGCCACATCCCCAGCCCGCATTAAAGCTTTATTATGAACACTAAATTTTCACATGACATGAAATATGACTTATCTTTTGATTTTTTCAATCATTTTCAAATCTAAAAATTAATCTTGGCTTTCAAGCCTTACAAAATAGGCAGTGGACCAACCCCTGCTAAGTCAAGAAAACAATATCTTTGATGTGTTAATAATGTAATTTCCCCTTTCTTAAGCTTTTGCCTACTGTAACATTATCAAATATGAAAACATATCAGTGTAAATTCAGTTAGTACTGTCTTAATAGAGGTTATGTGATTATATTCCTGGCATGATCATTTATGAGCAATCTCAGATCCCTGATTTGCTGTAAAAGATTAAGATTCATAAGGGGTAAGGATAAGTATATATATTTTAATTTGGACGTAGTTGATTCCAGACCAAATACTAAATTATAAAGAAAAGTATGATATGCTTAATTTGAATACTACTGGGTTTGCTGGTTACTCCAGTTAGTTGCTCAGTTAGAAACAGCAGTCATCCCGTAGGAGTTCATCAAATAGAGCACAGAAAGTGGAACTGAGCCACCAGACATTGTTGTTTTTGTTGGATACAGTAGTCTAAGAAGGAAATGGCCCTACCACTGTTTTCCTCTTCTGCTCTCGTGAGTCCCAAAGTAGGACGCACTTATGTCCTAGATTTCTTGCCCTTGGAATACTCACCCCGGATGAAGTGTGCCAAACTAGTGCCCTTTCAGTCCACAACAGGGTCTCTAAGCACCAGCCTCACTTGACAAGGTGCCTACTCCAGCAGCTGTTACTTTTTCCCAGTTGGCCCAACCACTTCTCAGACCTGCTGGGAAAGTGGGACCTAATTGTTGTTGCTTCCACTGCTTTCTCTTGCTTTAGGGGGATACAGTGAAACTAATATCAAGAACAAAACTTTTTTAAATTATTCATTTGTTTATTTTAACTAGGTATATATGACAGCAGAATGCATTTTGACTCATTGTACACAGCTGCAGCACAACTTTTCATTTCTCTGGTTGTACAGGATGTACAGTCATACACGTACCTAGGGTAATGATGTCCATCTCATTCCACCATCTTTCCTGCCTCCATACCCCTGCCTCACTCCCACTTTGCTCAATCATATTTCCTCCATTTTTCCTATGCTCCCTAGCCCCCCTGCTCATTATGGATCAGCATCCACTTATCAGAGAGAACATTTGGCCTTTGGTTTTATACATTAGCTTCTTTCACTTACCGTGATATTCTCCAACTCCATCCGTTTACCTGCAAATGCCATAATTTTCTTTTCTTTTAATGCTGAATAATATTCCATTGTGTATATATACCACAGTTTCTTTATCCATTCATCTATTGAAGGGCATCTAGGTTGGTTTCAGTTTAGCTATTGTGAATTCAGCTGCTATAAATATTGATGTGGCTGCATTACTATAGTATGCTGATTGTAAGACCTTTGGGAAGAGACTGAGGAGTGGGATAGCTGGGTAAAAAGGTGGTTCCATTCCAAGTTTTCCAAGTAATCTCCATACTGCTTTCCAGATTGGTTGTACCAATTTGCAGTCCCACCAGCAATGCATGAGTGTGCCTTTCCCCCCCACATCCTCGCCAACACTTATTGTTGTTTGTATTCTTGATAACTACCATTCTGACTGGAGATGAAATCTCAGCTTAGATTTGCATTTCTATAATTACTAGAGATGTTGAACCTTTTTTCATATATTTGTTGATCAAATATATATCATCATCTGAGAAGTGTCTGTTCAGCTCCTTAGCCCGTTTATTGATTGAATTCTTTGCTTTTTTTGGTGTTTTTTGAGTTCTTTATATATCCTGGAGATTAATGCATGTGGCAAAATTTTGCTCTCAAAATGTAGTCTCTCTCTTCACCTCATTGATTTTTTCTTTTGCTGAGAAGAAGCTTTTTAGTTTGAATCCATTCCACTTATATATCTTGATTTTATTTCTTGTGCTTTAGAAGTCTTGTTAAGGAAGTCAAGGCCTAATCCATCGTGATGAACATTTGGGCCTACTTTTTCCTCTATTAAGTGGAGGGTCTCTGATCTAATTAAAAGTTTTTTTAATTTTCTTTTTTTGTAGTTGTAGATGGACAGAATGCCTTTATTTTATTTGTTTATTTTTATGTGGTGCTGAGGATCGAAACCAGTGCCTCAAGCATGCTAGGCAAGCACTCTGCCATTGAGCTACAGCCCCAGCCCTCCCCCATCTTTTTATGACAGAATTGCTAACCTGTAAGAGTTTTCTTTTTTTTAAATTTATATATGACAGCAGAATGCATTACAATTTTTATTACACATATGGAGCATAATTTTTCACATTTCTAGTTATATACAAAGTATATTCACACCAACTCATGTCTTCATACATGTACTTTAGATAATAATGATCATCACATTCCACCATAATTAATTACCCCATGCCCCCTCCCTTCCCCTCTAACCCCTCTGCCCTATCTAGAGTTCATCTATTCCTCCCATGCTCCCGCTCCCCATCCCACTGTGAATCAGCCTTCTTATATCAAAGAAAAACATTCCGCATTTGATTATTTGGGATTGGCTAACTTCACTTAGCATTAGCTTCTCCAACTCCATCCATTTACCTGCAAATGCCATGATTTTGTTCTCTTTTATTGCTGAGTAATATTCCATTGTGTATATATATGCCACATTTTTTTTATACATTCATCTATTGAAGGGCATCTAGGTTGGTTCCACTGTTTAGCTATTGTAAATTGTGCTGGTATAAACATTGATGTGGCTGTGTCCCTGTAGTATGTTGTTTTTAAGTCCTTTGGGTATAGACAGAGGAAAAGGGATAGCTGGTCAAATGGTGGTTCCATTCCCAGATTTCCAAGGAATCTCCATACTGCTTTCCATATTGGCTGCACCAGTTTGAAGTCCCACCAGCAATGTATGAGTGTACCTTTTTCCCCTACATCCTCACCAACACTTATTGTTGTTTGTCTTCATAATACCTGCCATTCTGACTGGAGTGAAATGAAATCTTAGAGTGTTTTTTAAAAAAAATATTTTTATTAATTATAGATGGACACAATACTTCTTTTGTTTATTTTTTTTTAATGTGGTGCTGAGGATCGAACCCAATGCCCCACACATGCTAGGCAAGTGCTCCACCACTAAGCCACAATCTCAGCCTTTGGAGTGGTTTGATTTGCATTTCTCTAATGCTAGCGACGATGAACATTTTTTTCATATATTTGTTGATTGATTGTATATCATCATCTGAGAAGTGTCTGTTCAGTTCCTTGGCCCATTTATTGATCTGGTTATTTGTTTTTTTGGTGTTTTACTTTTTGAGTTCTTTTTATACCCTAAAGATTAGTGCTCTATCTGAAGTGTGAGGGGTAAAAATTTGCTCCCAAGATATAGGCTCTCTATTCACCTCAT